AGACCTAACTTCCTCCTCTATTAAATGAACTGCTTACATGGGATAATTAGTCTGAGACTGCAAAAAAAAACTAAAAGAAGGCCGGAATTGTTTTCTCCTTCCCCTGCTTTTTCAAAGCATTGCTTGTGAGTTTTACAGAAATCCATAGGAACGTACAAAACTGTTCCAATGCTCCCCACTGCCTTTTTGTCATCACTTCTGCAAATTGATTTGCTGCTTTATTATTTGCCTCTTAATATCACAAGGACATTAATTAATGCTTTAGGCTTCCCTGCTTGCCAGGTAGCAAACAAGTGTAGAGACTAGAAGCTCATTAGCTCGAAGTGACATATTTTACCACTTGGAGCCAAGATTCAGGCTGATTCATTTGAAAACACTAGCATAAAAAGTGCAGTTTTGCATTGGGAATCTTGGTCTTTTTTCTATATACTACACAGATAATTTAGGGTCCTGTTCTTTCTCAGATTCAGTCTTAACTCCTAATTTTAAAATTATCAGGGAAGTACCATATGACTTCAAGGCAACAAACATAATTTATTTGTGGTTTGATCTCAGAAACCTCATTCAGTTAAAACTCCTACTGTTCCCCGGGAGACTTTGCCAAACAAGGATTCAGGACAGAGTGTGAGAATCTTCTCAAGGCACAGGGCAGAGCAGTCTTCACATGGTAAGTGGTGATCACTAACAGAGCTTGCTGAGAATGAACTCACTGAAGGGTGTCTCATTATCATCCACATGCCTGAGTTTCAAAATGAAATGATGATCAAAGGTGGCACTTACAATCAGAAAAGTGAGCAAAAATTGCCTGGACCAGGATTTAGACTGACACAGGAGCCCAGGATTTCAGTAATGGAGACCATGTGTTCCTGCTGCTCAGCAGGCAGAGAAGACACTTCAGTGTGACTTTGTGCAAGCCAAAAACTCTGGTTGTTGATAAGTTTTTTCCTTGACAAATTAATTATATGACTTTCACCCTAATGTAGAAAGGGCTTACAGTGTTGCTATGCACTGGAGGCAGCATGTCTTCAGTCCATGATTTAGTTACTTCTTGTGTAATTAAAGCAGCAAATAAAATTTTAAGGTGGATCAGCAACTTCTTTTGCAATGGCCCTTTTGGTGTCTTCAAGGCAGCATTTGTCCAGCATTTTCCTCTTGACATAACAGTGCAGTTTAGAATCTGTATCAGAGGGGTAGGGTGTCTGAAATTGTTTTAGTTGCAGAAGTATACTGACAGTGTAAAAATGAGAATTGTGAGATAATTCAGTCTTAGTAAAAAGTCACACATTTCAGTAAGAGCATAAATATTTTGACTGTAGTTGACATAATTTCTTTTGGAACAAGTAGAAACAGTACCAGTGCGCAGAACAGCAGTGACCTCCCACAAGTGATTATTTTCTGCAATAAATTAACTCCCCTTTTCCTTTCTCCCCTACAATATTATCTGGGTGATTCTAAAATTCCAACAGTTAATTCCACTTGACAAACAACTCTAAGTCCTGACAAAACTGTGGTAATGTAGCCTTATTGAGTGTCATGACAGTTTAGCTGGGATGTTTCTGAATTAGTATTTAAGTGTTTTGGTCAGGAGATGTGCAATAAATGTCCTGAAGAAGCAGTTTCAGCAGGCTATTGATTGCTAGACCTGGGGAAGATGTGGGTGTTAGCAAGACAGCAGACTCAAAAGACCTTTCTGAATAATTGTTCAGCATTTGTAGATAACCAATTCTGGGAATATAAGGCACCAACTCATCTCTGAAATAACACAAGACAACAGTCTCAAGTGCAAAGGTATTTTACCGTTCCCAAATTAATTTCTTCAGTTCAGCATGCTGTCCTCTAAGCCTGCCTTTGTCAGGTTAGACACTGATGTAAAGTGTGCCACAGAAACAGGCCAGAGAAAATAATCTGGAAATGACCAGCTGCCTTTTTTTTGCACACATGTCCAGTGGCACTCAGGGAGATCCTCAAGAAAATAAGGCACAGAGCAGCAGTCTCCTCCACTCTGGCGTTGGGCAGCCCTAGGCAGTTTATCTTTCCACTTCCCAGTTTGCTTTTCCCAGTGGAAAAGCCAGAAAGGGCTGGAGATTGTTGTCTCATCTTGCACAGAGCTGTGGACAGAGGATGCCTCAGGTAGAGCTGCCAATGTGCAAATACATGATGGGCAGGAAAATTCTGTTCTTTGCTTAGGTTCCCTTTCAGCCGCACAGAACTGATCACGTTGTCCCTGCTGCTCTCTAAGCATGCGTGCTCAGATCTAGAAAGGTGTACTAGCATAATTTTGCAGCTGAGCCTGAGCTCCATCACTAGCTGGAGACAGTGTCAAAAACAGGCTTAAAGATCATCATGTTTAATTTCCTAGCACTTAATATAGATATAAGTTTATAGTATCTGGTCAGTCAGTCTCTGAAAATCCTATGGCAATCACCAAATACTCAAAATAAGTCAAAATTATATTGTCTGAATTATTTAGTCAGCAGGCAAAACCCAGTTAAAGCTGAGGAATCTGAAAGTATTTGAGGTAGCTTTTGAGGAAAGGTATGTACCTTTCCTCAAAGCCACCTCCTGGGTATAAGTTTGGGAGCTAACTCACAAGCTGCTGTTTCAAACCAGTGAAATAATGATTGTGAGACAGGAATTACTGCAGTCAGAAGCAGGAATTGCCATACCCACTGAGAGAGCAAAACAAAAGCATCTCCTCCAAAATGGACTGTAGAATATTCAGGTCAGTAATCATCCACTTCATCTTATAGAATCAGTAAGCAAAAAAAAAAAGGAAATGTGGTGCTTCTTTCAGCTGACGAAATATGTACCTGCACTTGTGTGTGCAGAGCAACAGAGAGACGCCAGCTAATGAACAACCACCCAGTACATAAAGCCAAGGCAACCCTAACTTCTGAAGGCCCCTGCTTAATCCCTGCTTGTGTCCTGCGACAGAGCACAGAAGAACCTCCAGCTGGATCATCTGCCATGATCTTTTAGAACGTACTAGTGGATGCAGAGGCAAAATCTGAGCCCCTTATTGAAGGACTTGGTTCTTGTAGGGTGATCAGTGCTTCCTGAAATCAAAGTATCTTTCAAGTGCCCCAAGCTGAATACCAAACACGATAAATTGGTTCCAAATTACAATGCAAACCTGTGAAACAGACAGGCACACAAATGGCTACATACATGTGGGTATGTGCCTGCAGTCCCATCCTTGGAGTGAATTTGTACTGTCTTCATATGGGAGAGCTAAAGTAGGACAATGATTATTTAAATCGAGTGTGAACTACACAAATGCTGCCAGCTAATTCTGAACAGCTTCAGTACTGGCTAAAATAGTTGTTTGAGGATTAGAAGGATTAGTTGTTGAGATTCAGTATAAACAGATCACAGCAACAATGCAATTGCTCAGAGAGCTTTGGTTCAGCACACATGCTGTGGTTGTAAAACATACACAGGGCATCAGGCATGGAACATATATGAAAAGGGAATGGCAATCAATGGCTGGATGCTGGATTTCTCTTCTAACAGAACACTGGGATTCCAAGTAATGGATATGCACCTCTTCATGTTTATTTCATTTTTTCTCAGGCTGGTGTGGCAGCCCTAGAAGACAGCAGTCAGTGAACCTGTGCCAGAGATATATTCAGTCATACCTATTCCATTTAATCCTCATTATCTGCAAGGCTTCAGGCTGGGCAGGGAGGGGGAGGCAGCCGTGTCCAGCTGCAAAGAGCAACTCTGGGCTCATGTCACACAAACAACCAGCAGGGATTGCCTTGGAGGTGACCTAAGACCTCTCTGGATCTATTCACATACATGTGCTTTTTTGAAACAAAGCTAAATCCTTGGAGACAGAGTGTCTGTGTACAGAAAGGGTCTCTTTCTTGTTTGATCTTACAAGATGTTACTGTTAGCAAAAGCAAACAACCCACACCCCATATTTAGTGTATTTTTTGTTAGTTTTAGTCTGTCTGAAATGCCTGGAGCCCAGTTGTGTCTGGCATGGACCTGTGGTGCAGCATTGCACAGGTGAAGGGCCTGAGTCCCATGGGTGTTATAGGGCTAAATTCCTCCATGAAGAGCATATACAAAAAAACAGAGAGGAATGCAGCTATACACATGCAAATATACCGAGCTCTGGAAGGCCATCTATTCCCAATGAAATAACAATGTTTGTGCCCTCAGTAGGCAGAAAGTTCCATTCCTTTTTAGTACTTTGTTACCATTATAGAGAGGTTTTTTGGTTCTGGATTTGCTTTTAAAATCCGTTTGGTCCCCACTGTTTGTCCCTGTCCAGTTAGATTATCTTTTATTGCGTAAGAGCACATAAAAAATTTGAAAAACAAATGGAAATTCAGCTATTAGCACAGTTAGAAAAAGGAAAGCAACACAAACCCTGGACGTGTTAAGCATCTCTTTCATCAGTCCACCCTCTTGTGCTGGACTATGACCAATGAAATAACGTAGAACATCAATCTTTTTCAAAAAACAATGTAATTCTTGCAATGTCTAGATTGCTTCTGGGATTTGAGACTGTTTACTACACTTTCTAAATTGTTCAGACAATGTTTATGTAAATGAAAATATTTATCTAGGTTACTGCTGTTAAGTACCCACTGAGAAACATTTTGCATTTATAGATGACCTTAAGCAACAATAGCAGAAGAAATTACTAGCAGGCAACATTTGGGATAGGCATGAAACCCTACATAAATCTAAAAAACAATAGTCCAGATTCTGCTGTGAGGGACCACCTGGTCCTCTTAGTCACACAGCTTTAATTCCCATTAGAAACATAGAATTTTGTTTCTGGATTGCAATGTCCAACCACAGAAATTTAACTACAGTCTCTTTCCTGACAAGCAGCAATGCTATTTCATGTCATCAGTGACAAGTTTTGTAGAAAGTTACTGTCTATACTTTTAGGCAGAGCTGAGGAACCTTTTTAACATTCCAGTATATCAGAATTATGCAATAACAGTACAAAAATAAATTAATATCAACTTACCTGCTGTGGACTGCTGTGATACTGTAGGGCTGGATGTCATGTGAAATAAAGTCATGACTACATTTATACCAAGGGATGCAGTTTCATTAGCCTTGTAAAAGGCTTTGCCTGGACAAAAATAATAAAGACAGTTAATCTAAGCATTTTAAGTGGGCTAGTAAAACTTTTTTACAACAGTGAGCAGACAGTAATGATGAGAATTAAAGCAGTCCTCATTAAATTTAATTTGTTTCACTTCCAGCTGAGCTTTCAACTGATGATAAATATGAACTTGTTTCCCTTTTGCAAAGTTTAAAGAGAAAGACAGTGTTTGAGATCAAGCTATAGGCAGACATTGCTTTATATCCACTTCTTAGATGCCTGCTTTCTGGCTAAAACAATGAAAGTCAAGAAGAGAAATTATGTATACAGATGTGTTTATCTGACATACATAAAATGGCCATGAGTCTTCTTGGGAAATGGTGATGTTGTTTTGATTGTTCTTCAGTCCAGAATAAATTGTGTTTCCAGGATGGTGAACAGAGAGCTCAAAGCAGCTCATGCACAACCAAGAGAGGAGAAGGCATGGAAGCAGCACCTACATGCTCATCTCCATCCTTCAGCACACAACTGCTCTCCCAGACCACTGTGCAGGATACCTTTCTCCATCTGGTGATGGAGATCCAAATGTGCATGCATGTGTGTGGCTGCAGGAGCGGCCCACACAGACTTTGCCTGTACCACCTCACGCTTCTCTGCCGCCACTGCCAGCACAACTGCTTGTGCAGCACCCACGTGGGCCAGGTGGGCAAACCATTAAGGACAAATCAGCCAAAAAAAAAAAAGAGTGTATTATTTCTCAGGCCAGTCTGTTTCTCAGTCTGCAGTAGAAAAATCCAAACACATGGTGCTGGCACTGTTGGCCAGTGGAAGAGAGGAGAGGTGGCAGAAGGTGATGGCAGCTGTGTGGATGGCAGTGCCCAGCATCAGGAGCCTTTTCAGCCCACTGTCATTGTGTTTGTGTCTCAGTGCTTGTATTTATAATCTCTTATGCCACCACACACTTCCAAGCCTGGCATGACACCAGAGATGTCTTTATTTGCCATATGCTTTTGCAGACAGTCATCACACACACCTGTAGTTACCATGTGGCTCTTCTATCATAGAATCATAGAATCATTAACACTGGAAAAATCTTCTGAGATCATTGAGCCCAACCTTTGGTTGCCACATCAACTAAACCATAGCATTTAGCATATTAAATGCCTCATCCAGTCATTTCTTGAACTTTTCTAGGTATGGTGATACCATACCACTGCCCTGGGCAGACTGTTCCAATGCTTAGCCATCCTTTCAATGAAGACATTTTTCCTGTTGTCCATCCTGAACTTCCCCAACACAGCTTGAGGCCATTTCCTTTTGTCCTGTCACTAGTTCCCAGGAGAAAAGGCTGACCCCCAGCTGGAAACAGACTCCTTTCAGGGAGCTATAGAGAGCAGTAAAGTCTTCCCTGAGTCTCCTTTCCTCCAGGTTAAACATCCTCATCTCCCTCAGATGCTCCTCTAGACCCTTCACCAGCTCCATTGTCCTTCTCTGGACATGCTGAGCACCTCAGTGTCCTACATGAAGTGAGGGGCCTAAAACTGAATACAGGGTTTGAGGTGTGGCCTCACCAGTGCCAAGTGGAGAGGGAAAATCATTGTCCTGGCCGTGCTGGTGACACTGTTTCTGGTCCAGGCCAGGATGCCATTGGCTTTCTTGGTCATCCAGAGTACCTATGAATATATTCCCTTTGGTTGATATTTTTCCTGCCAAGGTGATAAATCCCAAAAGCTTCTCCCACAGCTCTTATTTGATGTGATAAAGAAACAGCCTACCTCCATCTATGGAGCACTGAGCATTGCAGGCACTGCTTCATTGCTTGCCTACAATGTCCCTTATCCTTCCTGCCCTGTCTTGTGCTGGCAAGTGACACTGGCTGCAGTCTTGGTAGTCGTTGGGTCTGCCCATGATGCCTTTACTGCCCAGAATAAGCTGTAATGTGTGCTGGCAGACCTGTTGTATGTGTATATATATGTATGCATACACATGTATGTGAATATATAGATATAGATATATGTATATATGCATGTAAATATAAATATACAAATATGTGGATGTAAATATGTACATACATATATATGTGTGTGTGTGTGTACATTTATATAAATACATGCATTCACATAGATGACAACAACCAAAGCAGTTGAATTCATAGTGGTGCCAGACATTCTTATGAGATTTGTGACAATGTGGTTTTTGCAGTCCTATTTCCACCTACAGACCACTCCTCTGGTGTCATAAACTGCTTTCTTCCCCTAAAATAAAGGAAATGTATGTACAATGCCTAGAAGAAAATGGAAGTGTGAAGCCATTTAACACTCATGTTTAGGAAACTTCCACTGGTTAAAACTCTTTAAATAACCTTGCTTTCTGAGACTGCCATTTTCTCAGAAAATGCCACACTCTGAAGAAGGCATTTTACAGAAAATTCTCTAGTTAAGAGATACATTTTTCAGTTATTAAACAATCCTGACAACACACTCCTCACCACGAGGGTGGTCAAAGAATGTGGCAGGCTGCCCAGATAGTCTGTGCTGTCTCCATCCCCAAGGATTTCAGAACTGGACTCAGCATGCCCCTGGATAAATTCCTGCCTGGAGCAGGAGGCTGGACTACCCCACCTTGCATTTTTTGTACAAGTCTGTGATTTTCAGCCAGTTACCACACGGAGGAAGCATGCAGTTTATGCTGGCCATATGGCAGGCTTTTGGGCTTTAAAAATTGAAGAGATCTTTCTGCAGCCCTCAGTAGTGACTAGCATATTGTTAAGCTTGCAAAAGATCCTGACATATTCCTATCCTCAGTCGTCATAGAATCCCATATTGAGCCGTGTCTAATTTATTATTTCCTGGCTAGCAGCATGCTGAAGGATGAGGACCTGGCTGAAGTGGTCCAGTCTTTTGTAGCTCTCAGAATCTCACTGAGGCACATGAAATGGGAATTGGCAACAAGCCCTCAGGAGCACGCTCAGCTGTTTCAGTATCCTGCTCAGGAACAGAGACAGGAGCACATGTGCCACTTGCTCCATGTGCTGGTTTCACAGAGCTCTGGATGGCACTTGCAAGGCCTTGCTCCCCCTGCCCAGCCTGACACAGCACCTTGTCAACACTGCAGCCAGTGAAACTTGTTCCTCAAGATACCCCAAGCTGAGCTGAAGGACGGCAAGGGTCAGTTCTGTGTCAGGGGACCCCGAAGGTTGGGCACCTCAGTGGGTCCATCAGGAGGATTTTCAAGGGCCAGCCTGCTGCCAAAGTGCTGAATGATTGTGTGGGGTACATGCTTTGGCTAAACTTCACATTTCTCTTGATATTTTCACGGTTTTTATCTCATACTGTCTTTTTATTTCTGTATTTTCCATCTTTCATTTTCCACTTGTGCAAATAAACAAGGCATAGTATTAATACTAATTCATTTAGCAAAATTGCAGCCTTGGCAAAAAGGACCACTTTCAAAGAGAACTGGCAGCAAAATAAACATGGGAAAGAATAAAAAGGCAGTGCTGCTTTTTTTCCTGGGCTGCAAAAGTTGTCTTTAACCTTACTGGAGGTAATTTTTATTCAGAAGACAAAAGAAGACTCAAATGCAAAGCAATATGGCCAAGTTTACCTAGAAGCTCTGTATGTTACAAGAAGGCAACCATATAATTTGAAGTAGGAAAAGTCTGACATTCTTCAGACATTGTGGTATTGAAGGGAGACAAATTCCCAAGAGAAGTAAAGTGCTGGAATGAGCAGCCCAACACCAGCCTCTAACCACTATTTGTACTGCACTTCTTCAACAAGAAATTAAATAGTTTGGTAACAGCCAAGACAATCCTGGCTTACACGCCACCATATAAGCAGGAAATTCCAGTAATGAAAATATAATCCTGCAATAAAAGAACAAGCAGATAAAATAAGAAAAGCATATTTTCAGTTCTGAGGAAGGAAGGAGAATTATGTAAAATTGAAACACCTTTCTTGCACCTGTTAAATGCAGTAGCAAAATCCTGTAGTATATTACTTTCTTCCCCTGAAGGGACTAAATACTTTAGCTTTTTCTTATTGACAGTGACTGTTATAATAATCCCTTTGTTCACATCCTCCTAACATTCTGGAAAAACAACTCACTATGGGGACTAAAAATTCTTGAAATCTGTTCCCAACCCAGAGACACTTCTAAAAAATTGAACAAGATCTTGTCAGTTGTTTCTGAATTATGTGCAAATGTCTGTCAAAACACATATTTATTTAAGGTTTTCTTTTTTTTTTCCCTCATTCACAATTTACAACGAGGCAATTTTTTAGCATAAATTTCTCTTCTATCTCTATATGCTTTCATGGACAAATAAATCATTTCTTTGAGAGTAATTTGAAATTTTTTTTTTATTTGTAGAACAGTATATTCAAAATATCAAAAACTAAAAATGGCTATGATTGCCCAATGAAGTTAGAAATTGTAGAAGCTGTCTGTGTCAAAAAAGTCCACTTTTCTAGATGTTCACCAATTCAGAGGGGCCACAGTGAAGTACTTTTTTCTTTAATCAAAGTTTATTTAAGGGGCTTGTGAACACTGGAGATCCTTTCCTTCCTGCAGAACCAGAAATTTTAGTGGTTATGAGTACACAATGTACATCTGCACAGAAATAACTTTTTTTCACTAATTGAATCAAATTCACAAGGCCCTTGCTCAGTGCAGCATCCCCAGGCTGGCTCCATTCCCTGCTTGCTGTGGCTGTAAGGCTGCAGACTGGGGCAGAGGCAGCCTGGAGAGCCCTGACACGAGGGGTCTCCCAAAAGAGCCCCAAAATGCTTTTATTCCCAGGGAAATGTGTCCATGAAATGTGTCCAGGCTGGAGCTGGAACCCTGCTCTCACTGTAAGTGCCCTGTGATTTTCAGTGACCACAAGTGATGAAGATCTTAGTTTTAAATTTCATCTGTAAGTTGGGACAGGTTCACCAAGATCAAAAAGAAGGAGAAGGGAGAGGGCCATGGATGTCTGGGAAAACTAGTCCTTAAAGAAGAAAAGAGCTGAAATTCCCCAGGGA